TTTTAACTACACATAGGATTAACAACTTTTATCAAATGTTTAACCACGCATTTCATCAATTTTTTAAAAAATATATTAACTTTTTTTTATCAAAAGCTTTTGTTGTTAAAATCCTTGAGAAATCTTAATCCAAGCTCAAAAAAATCAATCAAATGAATAACACAACCACCAAGGCTCGACCTAAACTTCTTTCACGTTTGGTTGCCCTCTTTATTCTCTCTGATTGCTTTCTATTTAGTACCCACAAAAGACACAAGGTGATAACTACAACGGGGAAGAAAGGATGGACAACAATGGTGAAAATCTCTCCCAATCTCTCTGATTGCTTTCTCACACTATCCCTTCTATTGTAGCGCGCACACATGCGATTGGGAAACCAAGTGAATATATATGGATGCATTCAGGTACTTCTAAAGTTGGGCCAAAAAACTTTGGGTTGCCACTTAAACTACCTATATAATGAGCTAACAATTGGACAACTTAATAACCAAAGCGGAGACCAATAAATTCAACTCCACTACAACTTTGGCCTTCCAAAAGTGTTGGTCGTTTTTGAGTCGAGCCAAGCCAAGCCAAGCCATGGTGTCGATAATTATCCAACATCTGTTTTAAATTATATCCCGAATTTATTGGATATAAAAAACTCAACAAATCTCTACCTTAATACCAAATCAAACTGCAATCAACTAAAACACAAAATTTATACTTGCATAATCAAGGTAACCAATAAAATTGGTATTACAAACCTTACCTCTTGTCTCCAACCTGAAACGCATATCATACATGCTTCATATACTCACAAGGGCTAAGGTCAAGAACACTCAAGTAAAAGCAAATAATCACAGTAATCAATCAAGAACATATCGTACATGCGATGAAGATATATCATAAAATAACACACAGATCTTTTAAAAAAATACACGTTCACATAGAACAACATATTAACACCAAATTAATCAACAAACAACCAACATATATGCAATAAATGCATAAATGATCCCATGAAAAGATCTCACCACGCTTATCATATTCCATTCCGTGTTACTCGGACTTCGAGAACACATATCTCCTCTCATCACCTACCATGCTTACTAGACTGATCACTTAACTAATGTCTAATTGGTAAACAGTGCGGATCCAGGATATTGAGTCAGATAGGGTGGTCGTTGACCACCACAATAGTGAGATTGTTTATTAATATTTAATTATATTATATTAAAAAAATTTCAATCAATATATAAATGCACTAAAACGTAAAAGTCATATACATATGAAAATATAATTCAACACAACCCAAAATAATTTTAAAAAATACATTTGTCAATCATATATAGATGATCAAATTTCAAGTTTTTACGAATTTAAACGAGACAAGATGAAGTTTATACTTAAAACATGATTAAACGGAAAAGACAAATTTCGAGTTTAGGAGAAGTTTATGCAAAATTTTTAAAATAATAATTTTTAGAACTAGAACCATTTTTGACTTAGGGTTCATTCGATTGCAAGAATGAAATTTGGATGGAAAGAAAATGAATTTCAGGAAATTGAATTACCTAAAACTTGTTTTATTGGGAATTGTCAATTAATTGTGTTTGACTGGTATAATTTTTCATCTAAAAAATATTGAAATTTAAAATTGAATAGTGTAAAGAAAAATAATGTACTCTGCGATAAGAAGTGGTTTTTGGAAATAGAAAATGCAAAAATTGAATAGTGTAATGAAAAATTATGATTTAAAAATTGAATAGGGTAAAATAATTTTTTCTCCCTTGCCAAGAAAAGAAAAAAACTAGCTCAACCATGAGAATTTCAATTCCTCAGATAAAATTTAATAATAAAATTATATATTATGAAGTAATAATTTGAGTTAATAAATTTCTTAAAAAAGATATTTCGGAAACGAAAACTAATAATATATAATCGTTTAGTTTTTTAATTTAATTTGTTAAAAAAATTAAAAGGATGGGGAGAGGTGATTGGCATCGAACCCAAAATCTTTTGAATCCAAAACAAGCCTTCACAATATAAGAAACATCATTTCTTGGTTAAAAATTGGTACAGTTTTTATTTATTTATTATTTGTTAAAACATTAAAAGAAAGAGTGAATGTGAAAGGAATCGAACCTCATTCATCTCGTATGGAGCGTGAGGGCTCAACCATTTGAGCTACATTGCCTATCATTTAACATTTATGCACTAAAGGTTATATATATTTAATATAAAATCTTCCTTTAATTTTTTTCCTCAACAGATCTAACACGGGCAGCCTCTCCGGCTCGCCGAGTGCTGGATCCGCCCCGCCGATAAACCACAATAGATCCTAAGTCCACGGAATAATCTTCTATCACTACACCACTTCTTCCAATCTAAGTGGATAATGGTGGTCTCCACTTCACAAAAGTGATAGAAGTGTCTCTTTCACACTCCACCTGATTAGGGTCTTTAAAGATAAATGATTCCAACATTTAATCACATCTCCCATCGTGATCCAAATGTAACACTCCATATCCCTGGTACATACCACCAATGTAACCCTAGGCATCTATACTCCACATCACCAATAGACACGTCCACATTTACCGCTAATGCATTTCGAACTCACTATGGCAAATCAACACCTTTAGCGACCACAAAGGTTAGGGCTCAATTTATATTGACCCACGTACCATAAGGTTACTCCAACACCACGCTCAAGAAGTCCACAAATGATTTATCCCACAAAGAGAGGGGTGAATGTGATGCTCACAAAGATAATAAAAGAAAGAGTTAGTTATTTCACCGCGCTTACAAAAGAGACTTACAAAGAGAAAGAAGATAATCCTCACATGGATGCCTTAAATAATCTTACAAATCACACAGACTCGCAAAGATAAATGAGAAAATGGCCGCCCCCCTTTCTTTTCACTATCCACTCTCTCACACCACTCACGAAGCAAAAGAAGTACGTCAAAGATTTTAACCCACTATGCATGCAAACACATTACACAAAGTAATTAGATAGCTCTTAAATTCATTCAAATGCACATATCAAACATATTGAAATGTGACATATAACCATGCAACGGAATCAAGAAATCACACACATGTAGATGCATATGCAGTAACTAGGTTTACTCTCAATAAGCCTCACTAAGGTAATCACTCGACCTTGTAGCCATATTCGTCTCACCACTCTCCTTATCTTTCCTTTTATTATCATTCCTAGGACAACATATTTCACTATGTTTACCACAGTTAAAACATATCTTACTTTTCATACTTGCCTTAGAACTATATTTGCCATATAAAAAACTTTTTCGTTTTGCCAAATTGAAAAATCACATTTTTTATTTAAAAAACACAACTTAAAATGTGTTGTTATTTTACCAAAAATGCACAGAAAATAAAATGCAGCCAATAACGACCACAAGCCAAAGTATAGACACAATTCACACAGAATGATCGAACAAAACTTTCCTAAAGTCACATACAATTCTAATAATGAAAAATAATTGACGAAAAAGTTCACAAAGAATTCAAGTCAAATAATTAAAAAGAATGGGAAAAATTACACAGAAATCAATTTTTTAAGTTTTCATTTCAATAACGAGGTCAACTAAGTTTCATTTCAAAATTCAGGTGTCAACCCACCCCCACTTCATTCCACACCCACTACCATCCCCATTTCACCCCTAATCCTAATCCCCCATTTTCACCCCCACAAACGCCGTCGATCGCCACCGCTAACCAACACTGCTGTCAGCAGAATCAACTCCCAAAACATAACACCCACCTTCGATTGGACTTATAACACCATGCTGGGACAAAAAATTGCAAAAAAAGCTTCCGAAATTACGAACCAAAAGCCTTGAATCTAATCATCGTGGATGGAACCCATTATTGCATACTTACACCAATGGCTTCGCCACCCTATTCTGCCACAAATCCAGCCACGAATCTTCATCAATTGGACCAGAATTTGCTTCTGGTTGTGCAGCTTTTGTGCTTCCTGCATTTGTGCTGCATATGTGATTCTGCATCGGTGGTTTATCAATTCGGTGGTGAATTTGAGGTGTGTTGAAGGTGAAGGTGGTGGTGGGTTGACTGTGGAGGTGGTGATGGATTTATGGTGTATTGAAGGTGAAGGTGAAGGTGGTGGTGGTGTTGACGATGATTTGACTGTGAAGGTGGTGGGGGATTTTAGATGTGTTGAAGGTGAAGATGAAAGTGGTGGTGATGAAGATGACTTAACCGTGAAGATCGTGATGGATTTTGAGGTAGAGGAGGTGGTGAATATGGATTCGAGCTGCATGTGGTAGTGGTGGGGGTGGTGGTGGTGTGGTGGAATAGGATGGGGTGAGCTATAAGTGATTGTGGGTTAATTGGATAATTTATGACTAATAAATAATTCGCGAAATAATAAAATGTGTGATTTGGGACTAAAATACGTAATTGTGATTTACAAATTGAATCTTTGTCATTGTAACATCATTTGATTTGTAACCAATGTGATTGTGATTAAAAAAAATAGTAATTGTGCTATTATGATGGTGACAAAGTTTTACAATTTTTTTACATAGAACCAAAAATTTTACAATTTTTTACATCTAAGACAAATTAAATGGACTTGGAGCAGAAAAAATGAAATGGACTAATCAACAAGAGTATGTTAAATTTACTTATAAGTAAATAAGTTTTTATTTTTAAAAGCAAGGTAAGAATTCCTTTTAAAGAAGTAATTTTTTTATTTTTGTTAAAAGTTATGTTCCAATCATTAAGAAAATCCTAATTAAATTAATAAATAGTATTGGGAAATCAAATGTCTTGGTTCTCTCATGAGATAGTCTTTCTTGTCATGCCAAAGCAATACCTTTCTTTCTCGTGTTACAAAGTTTCTTAGCTGCAAAGATGAAATATTTCCACTGCTTATATAATCTAATTGACGTACTTAATAATTCAATCCACTGTACTGGTTATATTCTAGGCATTGAGCGTTGGGCAATCATATTTCTTAAAACATGTCGAATTATTCCTCGGATCCAAAGAGATGGGTTGGTCGTCAAAAGCCACTGCATGCAATTCTTGGGGGAGGGACAGGTGATTTTCTAACCTTTTCTGTTGTCATACACAAGTCATTTCAACGAATATCAACATGACATCAACCAGAACGCGTTTTTTAGGATGACACCATGGTTTCTTGATCCAAATTACATTGAACTTGTTTTGCAGTTGCTGACATATTGTTATGGAGGAATAAGAATTTATCGGCTGCAATACTTATCGGATTCACCGTAATATGGTTTCTGTTCGAGGTCGTGGAGTACAACTTTGTGACTCTTTTCTGCCATGTCTCCCTGGCTGTGATGTTAGTTGTGTTCGCTTGGTCTAATGGGGCAATAATAGTTGACAGGTAAAAATTGACTCTAGCACATTAATGTGATTTCATACATCACAACTCGTTTTTCTTCGTGACATTTTAACAAACTTCTTGTATTCCTATGTTAATCACTAGGAATCCTCCTGATTTACGAGCCCTTATAATTCCAGAGTCTTCATTTCGTTGGTCGTTAACCAAAATCAACAGGTTTTTGTTGAGATTCTACGATGTTTCTTCCGGTAAAGATTTGAAGACCTTTTTCATGGTATAAAATTCATTTCTTTATGTCATTTGACCTTCGATTATTTTGTTGCACATCTTTCATCAATTCTTGTATTCCTTTTCGGGTTTAGGCCATCGCGTTCCTATGGATATTTTCAGGAATTGGAAATTACTTCAACTCCTTGAATCTATTGTACATCGGTAAGAATACATAGCATATTTGAGACCTCCTCATGTGCAGTCCACCTTATAAAATAAGTCATTATTGTAATCTCTCTCTTTTTTTGAAACGATTTTAAGGTTTTCTTTGCCTGGCCACATTACCGGCATTGTACGAACGGTATCGAGATGAAGTGGATTATCTTGCAAGCGTAGGGAACAAGGATATGAAGAAATTGTACAAGAAATTTGATACCAAGTTTTTAAACAAGATTCCAAGAGGACCTGTTAAAGAAAAGAAGAGATTCTGAATGTCGTTTCAAGAACGCAACACGTGCAAGTTCCTGTACATAATTTACAAGTTGAAACGTATAAATGAAACGGTGCAAATGTACACTAAAGATATGTTTGTACTGCAAATGATAAATGAACAAGACTTAACTTCATTTTCTTTCTTAATCTTGTCAAACGTTGACCACTATAGCATGCCAAAAATTATTCTTCATTTAACTAATGAGAAATACTATTTAACATCACTACTGTTATACCATCAATCGCACTAAATATCATTAAATGGAAGATACAATTAAATAAATCATATAATTTCACATTTAATGGGACCTATCATATAATGCCGCATAGACATGCAAGATAGAATTAATCTGAACTAATAGAAAAGCACAACTTTTGATGTGACCAATGAAAGGTATTTAAAAACTCTTTTAACCACACATTTTCCTTAAAATCACTATTCAAACCATTGTTTTTTTCCCAAATAATGGTTTGTCAAACAAGGCCATAATTTGATACATTGTTTTGGAACAGATCGAGTTTCATAACATACTAGCAAGACAAGAAAAATATCCTCTAAACCATGCCATTTTTTGTGCTTGACATTTAGTTGCTGCTTTGTTTTCTTTCATTCATCAATGTATATAACTAGATGACTTTAATATGGATGAGTAAAATCTACAACCTTACGGCAATAAAAGTCTTCATTCCACGACTTTTCTTGATTTCCGTAGATGATATGTCCATTCGGTAGTGGTGGCAAATGATTACGGCAATAAAAGTCTTCATTCCTCGACTTTTCTTGATTTCCGTAGATGATATGTCCATTCGGAATCTCTCAATCGGTATAGAGATGAACATACCTTTCAGCTCCTCTGGAATATCAAAATCGTCAGAACCTGCTGTAATCTTGCAATAGAATTGCTTTAGTTCGTATACTGAAAACATCAAAACAAAATGAGCAAGTTCAAAAGTAATAAATTTGAGGCAAAAATTTGAAAACCCCATCAACATTTCGACCACCAACTAGGAAAATACAACCTGTATTTTTGCATTCAAGGAGTATCTTCAACATTCTTTCATAGTCCCCGCCATAATATTTAGGCTGTAAAACAACACATCGAAGGGTAAACAGTATGAGCCAGCACAAAATTAGACAAATGCAGAATTAATTAATTAACAATCATGTCATAGCTTAAATTGTAAAAAAATTAATCAGTTGTTAATTATTCCACGTAATGGACATATCGTTAGGCCATACAATTTAGCTCTTAATATGGAATCATTCAAAACAGGTTTTTTTGTTATTGGGGTAGTAGAATTCTTATAGATCCATCGCACCAAGGAACCAGAGAGTGTTCAACGCTGTAGCACTTTTCATTCTAGAGGTCTGCTTTTAGTACTAATTTCCTTCAACCTTTTTATGGAATCTGTTCCTTTCTTCTGGACTTAATTCCAAACATTCTTTTCGATTTTAGACATCATAATCTTCTAGTACTTCAACTATAGAACTCTCCTCAAGACCCTTTGTTCTTCATTACAGGGTCTGGACTTCTATTGGGTATGCATAACATATCTGTAACAAGTGTCTGAAATATATTTCTCTCTGAAAATTCTAGAAATCCACGAATAGGATAATAAATGACGGAGAAATTGAGGCATTGCAAAAGAAACTTTAAAAGACTAGGAAATGGAAAATGTAGCATTGGCCAAACATCAGCTAGAAAGAAAAAAGAACAAAAGCTGCACCGAAATTTTGAACTCATTGAAGAAAGATAGGACATAAAGTCCTTACATTTATAAGCCTTGCTGCAGTGTCTGCACCAACAATTACAAAAGCACTACCAGGGAAAAGTTCCGCTTTCTCCTAGAAGTATGGTTGGTTAGAAATTATGACAGTCTCACCTGCACTTGAAACACTGGAACCATTAAAATCTCACTCAGTCACTCACTGAAAAAGGTTTTGAGTGTGTCATATAACAATGGGCATCCATATCTTTCAGCCAAAAAGAATCAAATATAAAAGCTTAGAAACATATCCAAACCATGAATCATCAAAAACAACAAATGTTTATAGGCACAACCATCCCCACGGCACCTCCCCCAAGCCGTTTAAACAATCGAAAGAAAAACAAAAAAAAAAAAAGGAAAGGAAAGGAAAGATTAAATAAAGGGCAGGAGGGGGTACAAAGAGAACTTTGGATGACTTGATCATTTGAAAATTCAAGCCCCAAAACCACACAAACTAATTATTTGACTATCGCGCAATTTTAATTAATGGGACACAGCCCTTCTACCAAATGGACCTACAACATGAATAATCAATTCAGTTTTTCACATTGTAGATATCATATGAATTATCATTATGTTAACATATGGAAACCAAGGTGATTCAAAATCTTTGTTTTATTAAAGGATCATGCTGCTAGGAAATCATGACTTTCTCCGTAGTTTACGATTGACCCATCAAAAGACAGCTGCACCCAGAACAAGGCTTAACATTAATTTGCCATATATAAGATTTAAGAATGACCACCTTTGTTCTTATTTTAGGAAAAATCAAAAATAGAAATGGCAAAACAGATTACCAAATCACGGACGAAAAGTAAACGACCCATAGGAGGCACACAGCCAAACATACAGCATTACAGCCAAAAAATAAAAGAATGACACACAAAATAATTTATTCAACGCCACACAGTCTAATTAATGCAGATAAAGCTCTAATATTGCACAATAAAATGTGATTGGGTAATAGAAGAGATATAAGCAACCTGATGCATAAAGAAACATATCTGAGGCATTCTACTACTTATCAGAAGCAGGTCTCAAGGTTTATAAAGACAATTTCCAACATGTAACATCAAGAATAAAAATGAAGTAGGATTATCTTTGTTTCATAATAGAGCCATTAAAAGGTTAAGGGGCAAGGATTATTAAATTGAATACAAACTAGTCCCGAGTTTTGTTTCAACCATTCCGAAAACCATATTTGGAAGCAAAAAAGTTACATTCGAATTATCATATCCTTTGCAAGTTGTAAAGGATATAAATTTAGTCTGACCAACTTTTTCAACCTGTGTAACACGTTCTTTACTTTGGGAAACAGCTAACGGAGGTTTATCTGCATTCACAGCTGACAATTCAAAGCACGGGTATCCATCACCAAGAATACTGCATGGAACAAATGCATAACTTCAGAGATTGCAGATGCCTCTCAACAGCACAAGTAGAATGTTTATGAGTTCAGAACAAAAGCATTATGATTAAAACAGTAAGTTATTTGACACAAAAAAAATTCTTTTCCATTTAAAATTAGAATACTTCATCTCAAAATCACACGTTAGACACTTGGAAAATAATTGAATTATATAAGTTAAATAGAATTGCAAATAAAGAAAGTACTGCAACTATGTTACTGACTTGGATGGAATAATCATATTCTTATAGACTATAAAGACCAAGGAAAAATGAGCTTCCAGCTGCATGTCGCATGGAAATGATAAGGATTGAGTAGACAAAACAAGAATGGGGATCAGGACTAAATTAAAGGTATGGATGGAATTTAAGATGAGTGGGAAGAGTAAAAAAATTGCAACTTTTAACATTTAACACCAAGAACTCTAAGAGTCCACATCTAGGAATTATCAAGAAAATGAAAATATTTATGACACGTTTGGCCTTGGCACTCAAGGCAAGTTTATTCATGCAGAAACTGTCCTGATTAAATGAAAGAGACATCTGATTATTATGCATTAGTTGTACACGTGAGATTGAAAGGAAATTTCATACAACGACTATTAGGATTTTGCTTTTAATTATAAAAAGATCGGATCATCAGCAAAAGACAACATTAAGAAATTAACCCGATTCCCATTAAGTTTGGGATCAATCTTTCTTGTTACTCCATTTGATCAAATTTACATCCAAAATATCAGATGAAATCAAGTTTTCTCAATCTATATCACACGTGTTAATTTCCATCTACCTATTCCTATTTTAACATGATATGTTGGGACATCATCTTGTGAATAGAATCTTTAGGTCTATGCACGATATTCACTAACCAACTTGTCCTTCCCTTAATTTATCCTCACTGGTGACATCCTGACTTGGTGGTGTACATACGCATATCTTACTTTATCCATTCCAATATGGAAAACTAACACACATCCATTTTTAACATCCTCATTTTCTACTATATTAGTTTATTTGTAATATGTCCTTCAACATCCAATACTTACTATGATAAAACAAAACTAGTCTAATAGCATGTCTGTAAAACTTTTATTTTACTTGGTATCTTCCATTCATATAGAACGGCTGTAACATTTCTCCATTTTGTTGAGCTCCCTCTGATAATATGTATTGCATCTATTTTCAAGTCCTCCATTATTAATAACCAAACCTTAATGTTCGCGTGAAACCCGCAAGCGTACGGGATCGTTGTACAAGTAATAAAATTTTTGAGTTAAGAGTATCGTTCCCATGAGAAAATCCGAAACCATTAAAAACCACAAATTTAAGGATTACAGACACAAATTAGGAAATCCGAAACCATTAAAAACCACAGATCCAGGAAGAAATCAGAAAGTTATACCAATAAAATAAAACAAGGGTTGAAACCCGGTTGTATTTGACAAAAGAACAGCACTTATGGATTAGTTTAGTGTTGACTGCAGGGGGCTGATATCTTAGGTTTTCCTAAACGGTAGAATAATTTTCCACACTTCAATAGAATTTGTAATCAGTAACCTTTGATGTGACGGTGACCACTATAAATTGTTCTCTAGATCTTGTGTAATCCGAAGTATGGATCAAAAAAGCAGTACTTCAGCTAATGTTAACTACACTAGACCCTTCGTGCTAAGCTACATTGAATGTGTAGATCTTAATATATTGTACACTTTTTCCTTCACCCGCAGTTGGACCTTCATGGTATGGTCAATGTGGGTCTGGGGGCATGTGTGGGGGCGGGATCCTTGTGGTGAATATCTTTTAAGTGTTATAAGGTACTTTG